GGCCACATTGATAGTCTAACAATATGACTTAGGGTAGGGTATTGGATCAGCTCAACCTTCCATGAGGCTGAAGACTGGGATAAGCCATGTGGATGGCCAACCAGGTCCAGGGTACCCAATAAAAACTTTGGACACCAGACCCAATAAAAACTTTGGACACCAAGAACCCACATACACACACCTCCAAAAAGAGCATATGAGTTTCCTTGGATGGCAATATTCTGCATACTCATAGTGTCGCACAGCATTGCCAGGAAAGTTAGCACTGCATGAGAAACCACTAGGAAAAGAAAACTTGAAGTTCCATACATGGAATGTTCCTGGGCTCTTCTCAACCCCATGTGTTTCTGCCCTTGGACTGTCTTAATTCTAAATCCTTTAACTGTAATAAGCCATGACAGTGAGTATAAGAGCTTTCAGTAAGGTCTTGAGTCTTTCTAGTGAATTACAAAATCTAAGAATGGTCTGTGGACCCCCCTTCCCAGAATTACAATGCTGCCAGAAGTGAGGGTGGTCTTGGGGTTGTCAAACTCTATAATTGGTGCTCAAAATGAGGCTAGTCTTATGGGTGGTTCCCAAACTTCATAATATAGTTCTCATTTTACTCCATGTAGCATTTACCACCACTGTAATTTTGCATTTAAGTAATACTAATCTCTTCCACTAAACTCTAAGCACTCTTGAAGGTAGGAATCACGACAGTTTTTCATTCTTCAAGCACCTAGACAGTACCTACCACACAATAGGTACTCAATCATTCTTTCCTGAAAGACTGAACAGATGGAGTCAGCCAAACCCAGGACCATTGAAGCATGATTTTAAGAAAGTAAATCACACCTTAGCTTTCCCATCAGTGAAATAGTAACCTCGTCAGTGAGATTATTTAAGCTACAAGATATTTATATCATGAATACTTTTAAAAGAGGCAGTGTTGTGACAGGTTAAGAATACAGACTTCAAAGCCACAGGTTCCTGGGTTTCTGCTAGTCCACTAGCTGCGTAACTTGGTCAAGACAACAATGTTTTGCAAAGAAGCATTACCAAAATGTCATTTCTGGATCCTTATATACAAATTGCAATTACTAGGATATAATTTCTTTTCTTGATATTTATTAATCAATGATTCACATACACACACCTCCAATTAGAGCATATGATCAGCATAAGATGACCAGTGTTGGCTGTCTAAATTGAGGCAATTTCATGTATAAATATCACTTAGTTAATCTGTATAACCTTACCACAAGTAAGTATAATTTAACTTTTTAAATTTCTGAAAATATTCCTAAGAGTCCAGACATCCTGGATTAGAAATCATTCCATAAGATCTTGAAGCATAAAACCAAGGATTATATATTTATGTAATATATACCTTAAGACTCCTAGCACAGGTTCATAGGAGGCATATACTAAGACAACTGACTGGTATTGTTAATAAATTGTTGCTCTGTCAGTTTAATAAGATCTGTTAACAAAATAAAGTATCAAAAAATAACATTATTGGGGAATTACTAAGCTGACATCTTAATAAAGTCAGTTAAAATATAATACAAATAAAATATTAAATTGCAGTAAGATAGAAATGTAACACAGAACTAGAAAAATATCAAGAGACTCCAAAAATTATAAATTCATACTCTAGTATCATTTTTTCCCTATAGAATACTTCCATATATGTTAAAAATATCTAGGCCTTTACAAATCAGACATTCTTTGTGTCTTAATGTTAGTGAATTTTGATGCTCTTTAATTGTTAGAAATGAACAGCTCAATCTGAATTTATTGGATACCTACAATATGCCAGGGACTGTATATAAAAATAAAATCTAATACACACACACACACACACACACACACACACTATATAAGAATATAAATTATTTTCAGTGGTTGTCTCTAAAGCAGAGATTATGAGGCTCTTTGATTTTCTGCATATTTTTATAATGCCTACATTTTTTATAATGGGCATATATTCTTATATACATCGAGAAAAAAATTTTAAAGAGGAAAAATCACCTAAAGAAAATTTAAAACTATCTGTCACCTACCTTTTCATAAATACCTTAATTTTAAAATCCAGACAACTGTGGATTTAAAATTATAATTACTGTAAATACAATGATAACTCATATAAGTAGCCAAATATTATAACATATAAATAGTTTATTTGTACTAGAAACTCAAAATGTTGAAAATTAAGAGGTTATTTAAATTATAGGACATTTATATCAATAATACTTTTAAAAGGCAATGTTGTGGTAAGGTTAAGAATGCAGACTTTGGGGCCACAGTGCTTGGGTACTTAGTCAAGTTTCTTATCCTCTTTTACACTCAGTTTCTACATCTGTAAAATGAGGAGGAGCCTGTAAAACCAGACAGCTATTATAGGGATCAGATTAATATAAAAATAAAAGCATTTAATAAGCCTTCAACAAATGTTAGCTAATATTTATTATGTGTACTGAAATAAAACACAGTCAAACCTTTATTGAGTGAAAAAAATACAAAATAATCGTTTTAGCAAAAAAAAAAAGTTATAAGGAGTATATATGTTAGCATACAAACAGAAAATGTGGGAGCTGGCATGGCATGTGAAGTCACAAACCTGGGTTTAAGTTCTGGATCTCCTACATATTCTCTGTGTGACCTTGGGCAAAGAGTTTTTCCAGACCTCATTTCTTCATCTGTGAAATGAGGTAACAACCTCATGGGATTGTTGCAAGGATTAAGTAAATATTCTATCTAAAGCATAATATCTAGCACACAACAAGAGTGGTAACTGTTGGCTACTGTTGCTGCAATACTGTTGGTATTATTACAATTATTAATACCAATACTATTGGCACTGCTATTATAGTTGTTATTAGGAAGAAACATGCCTGTCTTGTTGCCTATTATATACCTTGCACCTAAAACAATGCCAAGCAAAAAGTAGGTGCTTAACAACTATTTGGTGACTAAATAAATAAGTCAAGCTGTCAAAGTGGTTAGTAGAGATGGGAGTGGGATTACAAGGATATGCACTTTCATCACTATAATTATATTTCTGTAATGTTAAGTTCTGTTATCAGAAAAAAAGAAACATTTTTAACTATACAATAATAAAGTCATATTTTCCTAAAGTAAAAGCAAGAAAGTTCTAAATTCTCTAAAAACATTCAATTCAAAAAAGTCAGAGAAAAATGGAAAGAAGCAATAAAATAAAAGGAAAACAAATTACAAAATAGAATAGCAAATGTTTTCTCAAGGGCAGTAATAAAAGTAAGCAGTTTTATTTTCCACCTTTCTAAAGGTTAACCAGATTATTCTAGGCAATATTTTGGGCCTCCTAAGTGCAGATTTCAAACAAATGCAATCATATTTAGGTTGGATTTTAAACACTAATCACACTAATTAATTAATCAAACAAATTAATCATTCTCTTTTTCAACTTTTCCTAAAAATGGGTCAGATATATGGAGGTATCTAATAATATGAGTTAAACTTTATTTTTCTGCTCATTATATACACTAGAACAACAGTCCTCAAGTGTGGTTCGTGGATCTGAGTCCCTGAGGCCCTTTTCAAGGGGTTTGTGAGCTCAAAATTGTTTCCATCCTAATTCTAAGACAGTTTTTGCTTTTTGCTTTGCTTCCCCATCAGCAATATTGACACAAAAGCAACAATGTTGCAAAATTCCTGGTATTTCAGCACAAATCTAAGCAGTTGCACTTTTTAAAAACTGTTTCACTAACATACATATTTAGTTAAAACCAAAAACTACACTAAAAGCCAGTTTTACTGGGAAAAAAAGTCTTTGACACAGCAGTAAAAGTAACTTTTATTAAATTTCAACCTTGGAGTATTTTATATTCTGTGGAATAAAATAGAAAGTACAAATAAAGAACTGCTGCTGCATACCAAGATATGCTAATTATCTTGAGGAAAGGCACTTGGGCAATTGTTTGAGTTGTGAGCTGAGTCAGCAGCTTTGTTCTTGGATTGTCATTTTTACATGAAAGAACAAATGACAGACAAATAAGGTTTTCCAGATATGGGTATTTAGCAAGTATTTTTCTGAAACAAAGTAAAATCAGTCTGTGGCTTCAAGGAAAACACCTGATTATATTTGTTGTTGATAAAACTTGAACTTTCAAGTGAAAATTAGAAAATCAAATTTTGTAAAACTTACATCCACCACTAAGAGTTTAAAAATTTTGAGATACTTTTCCCTGTTATAGATGATATTAACAAATATAATTTTTTCCTATTGTCAAATCATATCAAATGTATCAACACATAGAAGATGTGCATAAATTGGTAAATGCACAATGTTACAAAATCAAGCAGGCATGAAAGATCCATTTGAAGAGCAAGATAATCTAAAACAATTTAACATAAAGTACAAACTTCAAACTGCAACTAACCTTTGAGAATGTAACACGCTTAGTTTTGACACAGTATCAAAGAATATCACATTCACCTGAAAAAAAAATACTCTTCCCTTCCCAACTACATATATGAATAAGACTGAACTTTCTTAATATATTTCAAAGAAAAATAAAACAATGGAAATACACCAAAAAGAAAAAAATTGCAAGAATGAATGAAGAAGCAGATAGAAGAATCCAGCTGTGTGCTACTAACCTAGACAATAAAGAGATTTGCAAGAGTAAAACAGCGTACTCTTTTCGCTAGTTTTTTGTTTTGATAAATATACTTATTTTTCATTAAAAACATGTTATTTATGTTAATATGAGGAAGCCTGTTATTTTTAAGTCAATTGATAAATATGTTCGAAATATTTCAGTTCAATTCTGATGTCTAATATGGCAAACATTGATAGATAATCCCATAAACAGAAACTCTTTGGGGATCTCAATAATTTTTTAGAGTGTTATGAAGGTCTTGAGATTAAAAAAATGTTTGAGGACTGCTACAGGAGAGGCACACAGTAGTAGATTACAGTCCTGTTTATAAGAGTTGCTCTTGAGACTTTTCAGAGTATCTAAAAACCATACCTGCTTGGCAAAAAAAATTGTATCAAGTCTGGAGTCCTGAACCACAGAGCCTGCAGGTTCTTCTCCTGGCTGCCACTTGAAAAGAAAAATTAACCCATGAACTGGCCTACAAAATAAAATACAAATTAGTGACAACAAACACTGCTTCTTTTATAACACATTGTTAATATATTAAATTTTAGTCAGTTATTTAACAAATGAAGTAAATGAAATAATTCGAATGAAGTAAATTAATTAAACAAATATGAGGAATTTGTAAAAGATTGCTATTGCCATTTAGTCACTAAAATGTTGCCTTATAAGATGCCAATAAAACTTAAAATTACATCAGTTAAAATAAAATTATAGCTGGGTTCAGTGGCTCAGCCTGTAATCCCGCGCCTTTGAGAGGCTGAGGTGAGTGGACTGCCTGAGCCCGAGGGTTCGAGACCCACCTGGGCAGCGAGACCTCATCTCTACAGTAAATTAAAAAATCAGCCGGGCGTGGTAGCGCGCGCCTGTAATTCCAGCTACTCGGAAGGCTGAGGCAGAAGGATCGCCAGAGCCCAGCAGGTCGAGGCTGCGGTGGCTGGGAGTGGCCACTGCATTCCAGTCTGGGCAACAGAGTGAGACTCCAACTCAAAAAAATAAATAAATAATTTTAAAAAAAATTATAATGAAAGGTTTATTCTCAAATCTGTAGACTATTCATTTCTACCTCATGCTACCTCACTTAAAAACAAACAATAAGAACATAACAAAACTAGGAGAAACTGTTTACTGTAGGCTGAATTCCAAAATATATGAATATAAAGCTTATGTAGGATGTTTACAGATAAGTGGCTGATTACTTGTATTAAATATAGAAAATAACCTTCACATGTTATTGGATTCATGAACAATCCTCATACTACAGTATGAATAGATGCTATCATCACACACATAATGCAGTCATCCATTTTTTTAAAGAGCTGTTTTTGCGATGAAACATTAAATCACCACTTTAAAATCTCCTCCAGTCTTTCACAAGTGCCTCTCACTCATGAAAAATCTTTCCTAGCTGTTCAAAGACAGTTCAAATGATGCATCTTTAATTAACCTTCCCTGTTCTTAGCCAGAGTTGATCCATATTCATCTTAAGTGATTGCTCTTTTTGTGGGAAAGAGGAAGGTGGGAGGAAGCAAACTGCAAGTCTCCTTCCTATTAAAAACGGAGGCCATATCCTTAAGTCCTCATTTTCCTTCCATTTCAAGACTGCAAGAACTCTCCCACCAATGAAAACTACTCTAGCCCTGACTGTAGATATAGACTCAATATTTGAGAGCATGGAGGTTAGGGTTAAGGACATGCTTGGAAAGGTGATTCTGGCCAGAAAGATGGTAGACGGGTAAGATCCTTTTAGGCATCAACATTTGGAATTTGAACTGTGACTTTCCCAAGAAGCAATGTGATAATGTGGAGACAAGTTCTAAATTACTATGAATATAGAGAATCTATTGGATATTTTTGTAAACTGACCTATTATTCATGCTTTTTATGTTAAAATATGTTCTATGTTCTAACACTATTGATATATAAGTGAATTTTGTTAAAAAATCAACCATAAATACTTTGTGTATATGGAATTACAGAGACTTGCGTTTGACTCCTTTGCAAGTTACTTATCAGCCTCAGGTTCTTAATTATAAAATGAGAAAAATAATAATACTTATCTCACAAGATTGAAAAGAGACTTAAAGGAGATAATATATTCAGCTACAGTAATCCAAATAAAATAAACAGACAAATCTTAGTATCTTTCAAAAGTTTGTTAAAATATGGACATACTGTTTTTAACACAACTAAAATTATACTTACTTTAATTTTTCAAAATTCTCAGGTTCTAAACTCCATATTTCTTCTACTTGGGCTCCTCGGCAACCTGAAATAAGAAATTATTTTCTTCAGAAAATAATATTTTCCTTCATCATAAAATAAAATATTAATTAAAAAAAATGTACACTTGGGGATAATAACATGACAAATTAAGACAGTAAAACTGATAAAGCTTACAGCCAAATCCTATTATTTTCTATTAAATTTCCAGTAATTTACAATGGCAATATATTACTTTCTTAATTTTAAAAAGTTTCAAGAGTTTATTTTCACTGACACACCACTCTATGACTGCTCCCTTTCTCTCTCCATCTCCGAACCCTCATCATCCATTTTTTTTCCATTCAACTGTTACACTTCCCCACCTCTGTCTTTAGCCCTTTTTTCTTACTCTATACTTTTTCTTATTTCTGAAAAAGCAAGTAACTATCACTTAGTGACTTTCAAAGTACAAGTTTAGTCTGATACCCTTCCTAAATTCCAACTGTACATTTTCAACTACCTCAGAGTCATCTCTCCTTCTCCCCTCCCCAAACATATTCTTCTTCTAGTGGTTCTCAACTAGGGCGATTTTGCCCATCACAGAATATGTGGCAATGTTAGAGACTTTTTGTTACTATTGTAACTGAAGTGAGGGGGGTGATGCTACTGGCATCTAGTGAGTAGAGGTCAGGGATGCTGAGAAACATCCTACACTGCACAGGACAGTCCCTGACAATAAAGAATTATCTGGCCCAAAATGTCAACAGTACCAAGGTTAAGAAACTCTGCTCTAGTAATATGCATGATAGTAATCATGTTTAAGAGCTTGGCATCCAAGCTGCTAGGGTTTTCAGCCCTGGTTCCTCTATTTACTAACTGTATGACCATTTAACCACTCTATTCCTCATACTCATAAAGCTGTGAAGAAGTATAAATGAGATGATCCATGAGATACATTTAATACAATGTATACATTGTACATTGGCATACTCTAAGGGTCCACTAAATGTTAGCTAGTATCATTATCACAATACAAAAACAACATTATTTACTAGGGTCTTTGATGTCTTCTATGTAAAGTGCTTTAAATGCATTTTCTTTAATCACTGCAAGGTAAGAATTTAATGAGAGAGGCTTTGCATGTCAAGTGACTTGTCTATTTTCACTACAGTTACTATATGCCAGCAAACTAATTAAACACACATCTGGTTCCAAAGTCTGGACACTTTGTAATATTTCAGATTTCTTTTTTTTTGAGTTGGAGTCTCACTCTGTCGCCCAGACTGGAGTGCCGTGGCCGCT